ACCATATGATATCACTCATGTGGAATCTAAAAAAAGAAAAGATGACACTAATAAACTCATCTACAAAATGGAAACAGACTCGCAGACATAGTATACAATCTTATGGTTACCAGGGGGAAAAGGGGTGGGAAGGGATAAGTTTAGGGGGTTGAGATTTGCAAATATTAACTACTGTATATAAAAATAGATTAAAAATTATTCTGTATAGCCCAGGGAACTATATTCAGTATCTTGTAATAACCTTTAATGAAAAATAAAATGAAAACAGATATACATAAGTATATGTATGACTGGGACATTATGCTGTACACCAGAGATTGACACATTGTAACTGAGTATACTTCAATGTTTAAAAAAGCAACAAATTCATCTTCTGAAGACCAACTTACAGGAGCATAAATTTCACTGAGGGTTTATTATAAAAATCCACATCCATAACTGAACATAATTTCAACTGCCTCCCACTTTAGTCCCTTCTATTCACCATGAAAAAATCTGCCTTCCAAAATAAAACATGGTGGGAGCCATTTGCAAGAAAAGTCAGAGAAATGAATCTAAGACTTTCATTTCTAGGTCTAAGTGTTTGTCCTTGAGAGCCTATTCTGGAAATTGTATCTTTTTCCTGTGGATTCTTGAAGTGGCAGGAAATGTAGCTCCAGCCATTCACTCTACATAGCCTTCCTTGGGCTTAACAAGCTCCACTCACTCTTGGCCCTAAAGATACCACGTATGCTATATGTGTCCTCTTCAACATCCAGCAGGTTTTGGTAAGTCAAAAACTAGCTGCAAGCAAAGATGGGGAAGTAAAGATTCTAATTACTTAATTATGTTCCAGTCCAAGAAAGGAGCCAAGCAAGTCTTCTGAGGCAACAGAGAATATCACCTATAGATAAATTCAAAATATTATTGGGTGTTATTAACTATATAAAAGGGCACAATCCAAGAAAACAGAAAGGAATGTAAGCCAAACCATGAAGTGATTTGAAATAGAGAATTCATTTTTTAAAATTAATTCTAAGGCACTCTTCTAAATCATTTCACATGAATTGACACATTTAATCATTGCAGCAAAACTATGAACTATGAATGTATTATTTATCCATGTTTTACAACCTTGGAAGCTGAGGAACACAAAGGATAGGTTCCTTACTCAAGATTACGCATGTGGTGATTGCACTCATCTTAAAACCAAAGATGAAGCCAATATTCAAATCAAAAGTGTCTAGTTCCAGAGTCTGAGCTCTTACCACCCCATGATATTGCCTTTCAAAGTTATTAAAATTATTAGAGCATATTTTTCTCTTAAAATACACCACAAATCAAAGATATCTTTGTACTGGTTAGGAGATTTGGTTAAGATTTATTAAACATGGCTCCCTCTACAAGGTAAAGCTATGAGCCAATATAATTAGATTTGTACCTTATCAAGAAATAAGGCAATGAAAAATCATGTATTTTTCTTTAAGGGGTGAGAGACTGGTGAAAAGTTGATTTTCTTTTGATGGGTAGACTTCTTGTGAGAGCAATATGGAAGGCCTGGTCCTGAGTCACAGACCAGGGCTGCTTTGCTATAGATGGTATTACATTGTCCCTGATTCAATGTTGCTCAGAGACCCAAACCTACTCTGCTATCTCTTTGAGACATGAAAAGGTAACCCTGTGTTCCTGAGCCACACTGAGGGGGAGCCACTACCAGCAGCTAAAGAAATCAACATTTGTTCCAAGGGAAAGAATGCCTGCACCCTAAAATTAAGCTATGCTGTAATAAATTTATGACAATGAGAAGATCATAGTCAATGGCACTTCCCTCTTTGTTTATAACATCCAAGTAAGTGGGCCTCTTTTCCTTTAGTGAATGCTTGGTGTAAAAGTCATTAATTTAGTTGATTGACTTCTTTGGATATGGAACCATTTAGATGAGCTGCTGGAAAACTTGTCAAGCTGATCTGGAAGGTGTTCTGGAACAGCCCCTTAAACAGTCTTTCTAATGAAATACTAGAGAACTTGAGCAGAGTGGGGCATGTCAGGGGTCAGAGTAGTTCATTTTAGAACTGACTTTCCATAACTAAAAAATTAAAGTCAGTTATAGCATATATAAATGAGAATAAAATGAGAATCAAGTCTTTTCCCCACAAAATGAGTAAGCAGTAGAAAACGACAGAGTCTTGGAAGATATGGCTGTTATGAATAAACTCCAAACTCTATCATAAAATTAATCAACTTTAATGTAAATTTGTTACCTAAGACAATTACTGATGTCAGAACAATAATGAGGATTTAGCAACAGTAATCAAGAATCTTATTCGGGAAGAGTATACATTGGCAGGGATGGAAACAAGGCAACAAATTAGAAATAATAGCAAAATTCAGGTCCTGTTAGCTTTGAAGAAGACACATCTATTTCGAAGATCAGCAAAGGACTGAATGGTAAAGGTGAGAGAGAATTGATTGTAGGCAGATATCACAAAGTAAGTACGCAATTTATAAAGAGAAACACTGAAAGAAGGGGAAATGGACAATTTTTACAGAGCTTCAAAGTATTACCTCTCAGAAACAAACCAAAAAAAGGCTATTTAGAGGGTGTGCGCCTTAGACACATTTACTGAACTAGAAATTCACACAAGATTCATGGCCCTAAGTGCTTATCCTACCACAAGAGACCAACTTGACATCATGGCCGTGCAGACTTCGTCCTTCAGATGTATTTGAAAAATGTTCACAGAAAAACTCCCCACCTTCAAAAATAGATAGGAAATAGGAATAAGAATAGAGAAAAAGCCTATTGATCTTTACTATTTCCCTAAATGATTGGGAGATCATTTTAAAAGTTATCAGAGCTGGAGTTGGTTAAATTTTCAAGCTATGATATTGTGAGTTTTAAAGTTGCAGACTGTAAAAGTTTAGAATAAGAATCCATTCTAAAAGAGGCCAGTTTTTTTCATCTGGTTATGAGGATCTGATGGTTAAAGGGAAAGTCAGTGTCTTCAAAGGAAGATGTGAAACATACATGGTACAGAAGATCTGCCACCCACAAGGAAAACCTGGAGAAGAAAAAATGTCTGGTTATGTTAATTAAGTCTGGTCTTGTACTAAGGTTTTCCAGCTTATTTGCCAGGCTGCTGAAATGGCAATATAAGTAAGGTATAATTACTGGTGTTCCCAGTGAGAATTACAGACTTCTAGAGATGAAAGGAAAGCGTCACAGAGATCACAAACCTAAAATTCCTTAGGTCACAAACCAAAGTACTTGCTGAGGTCAGGGGCATGAGTGCATAAAGGGACCCAGTGGGGACTGGCCACCAGGGGCGTGTGCACCCCATGGAAAAGGGCAGCACCACCACCAAGTTCCAGCTGGTTTACCATGTGAGGACCCAGGCTCTATATTACCAGCTTTTCTAACTTCTCATGAGAAACTAGAGACAGAGATTCATATATAAAATAATCTAGTTTATTTTGGTTTTATTTATTTTTAATAGACAATTTTTAGAGCAGTTTTAGGTTCACAGAAAAACTGAACAAAAGGTCCTGAGAGTTCCCATAAACCTCCTGCCCCTACACGTGTAAAGAGGCAAATGTCTGATTCCAAAGACCCTGTTATGTACAATGTGTCAGATGGCTTCTCCATTCCAAATATTCATCAATAATTTTTTAAAAAATTAATCAACTCAGTTTTTTTAGAGTAATTTTAGATTCACGGCAAAACTGAGCACAAACTGAGTAGAAAGTACAGAGATTCTCTGTAAACTTCCTGTCCCCACACCTGCATAGCCTCCTCCCATCAACATGGTGCCCACCAGAGTGGTACGGTTATAACTGATAAACCTACATTAATCCATCATTATCCCCCAGGGTCCATAGTTTATATTAAGGTCCACCCTTGGTGGTGTGCAGTCTATGGGTTTGGACAAGTGTATGACATATCATTATAGACACAGTATTATAACTGCCCTAAAAGTCCTCTGTGCTTCACCTGTTCAGCCCTCCCTCCCCCCAACCCCTGACAGCCACCAGTCTTTTTACTGTCTCACCTCTCACAGTTTTACCTTTTCCAGAATGTCATATGGTTAGAATCACACAGCCCGTCTTCAGATTGACTTATTTCACTAGTAACAAGCATTTAAGCTTCCTCTGTGTCTTTTCATGGCTTGATAGCTCATTTCTTATTTAACACTGAATAACATTCCTTTGTCTGGATGTACCACAGTTTATTTATCAATTCACCCACTGAAGGACATCTTGGTTGCTTCCAGGCTTTGGCAGTTATGAACAAATCTACTATAAAAACTACCACGTGCAGTTTTTTGTATAGATATAAGTTTTCAGTTCATTTGTGTAACAATCAAAGAGCACAATTGCTGGATCGTATATTAAGTGTGTGTTTAGCTTCCTAAGAAACAGCCAAATTGTCTTCTGAAGTGGCTGTACCATTTTGCATTCCTATCAGCAGTGAATGAGAGTTCCTGTTGCTCTATTTCCTTGCCAGTATTTGGTGTTGCCAGTATTTGGTGTTGTCAGTATTCCAGATTTTGGCCTAGGTGTGTAGCAGTATCTTGTTGTTGTTTTAAGGAGTTTTTAAATGCTCAATACTCTTTGGTTAAAAGACCAAAAATGTTTAGATTGCTTAAACCTCTGCCTTAATTTAATTAAGACAAGAAAGAAAAGAAAAAAGGAAGGAAGGAAGAGAGTGGGGAGAGAGGGAGGGAAGGAGGAAGGGGAAAAGGAAAGAAGGAAAGAAGGAAAGAAGGAAAGAAGGAAAGAAAGAGGGTGGGGCCATGCGAATCAAATAAACCACATCTGTAGGCTACCAGAGTTCTAATTCCATTCAGCATGTCAGAGATAAGGAGCTTGGCCAGGAGACGGGAAGGGCTTGGCAGAGATCATGCAGTTAGTTATTGGTCGAGCAGAGATCATGTTAGGATACAGGTTTCCTTTATCCCACCTCAGTGCTTGCCTGGTTTGTGCAATCAGATATTTTCACAAAGTCACCCTGAAATTCTTACTGTGGCAGTGGCCTTGCTTGTATGCTTTCCTCTCCCGAGCAGCTTGGTTGAAAAGTCTCCAAACAAACTCCAGCTCCATAGCAAACATTACTCTGGTCCATCAAGTAGATCTTCTCTCAATCTGGGAGGGGAGTTGGAAAAGAAGGTTGAACACTGATGTTTTATGGAGGTTCTAAGAGTCGGAGTCAATACAACTGAAATACTCCCTCCATGCCGGGCCTAATATTTTGGAATCTCTTGTCTTTTCTTTCAGCACTATTTCCAAAGTGCTGGTGCTGAACTGAATGTAAAAGCTGCTCCAGGAATAAGATTTAACAAAGATCTTAGGTTTTTTTAAAAGTACTCTGACTTAACTTGTGCTGGAAACTTGGAGTCAAAGCTTCCCTTGAAAGAAGCAAAGTTCTAAGCAGTCAGAAGCATAAAGATGCTGCATAAAATGAAGATTATAGAAGGTCAAGGGGACAGAAAGGTGATACAAGATGAGAGGGAAAAGTTACATGCCCAGAATACATAGGAATTTAACACAATTAAGGTGTGATATTATTGTATTAAGCTATAAACAAGGCTCAAAAGGTATTTTTAGGGAAGAGATCCCTTAATATACTTCAGTCATAGACAGGAGAAAGAAGTTTTAAGGCAGTATTTGAAAAGTAAACTTGTAAAATAAGTGGGAAAATGTCCACAATTTGTGGCCCCTTCAATGTCATAATCACCCAGCACCGTGTGTCTGTTTTTTACTCTAAAGTTGGCTCCTACACAGCATGCAGTTTAGTAAGTTTCCAGATTCTCACACAATCATGATTATTTTTAAGAATCATGACTATTGTGAATTATAAATATTTATATTATGTCTGCTTTTATACCAAAGATATTTACTATTTAAAAGCATGAGACAGCTGGGAAGGGCTCTGTTTTATAACAGTAGAAAAGACACGGTGATCCCTGGAAGCCCAGAGCACTGTTTTCCTCTTGGGAGCTGATGTGGTTATTGTCATCAGCAGTGATTTTGATTTTAAAAAACTGGTGATTTTGATAAAAGCAATTCAGAGCTATGCACAAATGAAAAATTCATGTCCTTTCAACCAACAGAATTTAATTAAACATGGTTCATGTGTTTTGTGTTTTTTTTTTAACCAATCTTCAGAGCTGTCTGCTGTTATTGACAGCTTTAGTCAACAAGATAAACACAATGGATGGAGAAGGACATATGTGTAGCATTTACTACTAAAATTGAGGAAGAGAGGAAAATAAAAGCATTTTGAGTTTGAATCATTTTCCTCTTTCAGTTTAAGTAAAAACACAACTTTCCAATAATCAAATTAAATTTCCAAAAATGTCATTACTATAAAAGAACTAATACACAAATATATTTCAAAATTCAGGACACCTTTTATCACACCTTTAGCAAACTCTTTCTTCTCTCTTACTTTCCTACTGAGGTGGCCCAAGGCCAGCCTGCGTGGGAAGGCCAGAGCCTCCTAAAATAACTACAAACATGGGGCCCTCCCGTGAGCTGGTCCGTCATTGACAAACTTGACCCCCATCCCACAATTCCTTGGCATCTGTTATTAGCTCTGAACCCATGGTGACTGCTGTATCTTATGCTCTAACAGTCTTCCTGGGGGTGGGAAGCAGGGTGGCAGGGGAGGTCTCACCTAACCCCAGTAGTGGTAAATACCACCTTTATACTGAAGATTCCCACACTCACCACTTTCTAGGCAAAGCCCCTCTCCTGAACTTAGGTTTATACATCTAACTGCCCTAAAACTACAAGTTCAACATATCCAGATAAGCTCATCATCTTCCTCTGAACACAAACTTGCTTTTATCTCTTGACAATAGTAGCTAGAACTACTATTCACTCAATTGCCCAGGACAGAAATCTGGTTGCAGGTGTTGGCTCCTCTCTCATTCTTCTCCCTGTGTCCAATCAATCATGCATTTATGTTTTATTCAGCTTGCTCATGTGTCTGTAATCTGCTGAATTTCTTTTCATACTCACAATGAAGGATACCATGATATGTTTCCTAGATCACTGTCATGTCTTCTTACTGGGCTGTGCTTCTCCATTTTTTAAAACCCCCTTCAACTAATTCATTTCTGTTGGCCTGTTAATCTTTAAAAATTGTAATGCTGACCATTGTCATTTACTAAAATACTTCAGTGGTTTCCCATTCTCTTAAGGTAAAGGCCAAAACCTACATGGCTTATATGGTCAAAGTGACTGCCCTTATCAAGCCTTAAGCTTCCCTTGAACTGTTTTTCTTCATTCCGCTTCATTTACCCCCTTCCTGCTGACCTTAATTGTTTAATTCATCATTCTTCAGAGCTCAGCTTAGACATCACTTCTCTTGAAAGCTTCCCTTGACATTTCCTATGTGTTCACCAGTGTACCAAGCTTCCTCTATCTGTAGTGTAATATGATCATCTATTTTTTTTATTCAATAGAGATTTATTCAGTGTCCATTATATGCCAAGGGCTATTCTAAAGGCTCTAAGTCTATCAGTAAACAAAACAAACAAGTTCACACTTTCATGGGTTGTATTTCAATGAAGGCTAGGAAATTAACAAGTAAATCCATGTCAGAGAGTGATTACTAGTTCATGGTAATCAGGGAAGGCTTATCTGACAAACCAACAGGGTAGCAAGGACTTGAAAATGAAGGAACAAGCCATGTAAATTTCTGAGGAAGAGGATTCCAGGCAGCAGAACAGTACACTGGAAGACAGTCAGAATAGAGTGAGCTGGGCATAACCCAGGACAAGGAAAGGACCGGCAGACAGATCTCACAAAGCAAGGTGGAGAGCAATAGGATGTGAGCAGAGTAGTGGGAGTGAGGAGCAATGTCACAGTCATGTAGGGCATTGATGGCCTCTTGCAGACTTCTGGTTTTATTGTATCTGCAACGGAAGCCATGAAGACTTTTGAATAGAGGAGTGATATGACCTGACTTAGAAGGAGCACTCTAACTGCTATTTGGTGAAAAGACTGTAAGAGACAACGATGGTCACATGAGAGACCATTTGGAAGACTACTGCAGTCAGTAATCTTGGCAAGAGATGACAGCAGCTTAGACTACCTATGTTGTATTGTAGTAAGTGAATGTTTTGGGAATATAGTTTGAAGGTAAAGTCAAAAGTATTTGCAGATGTGTTGGACAACAGGATGCGAGAGAGAGAGAAGTCAAGGATCACACAATAGATTTTGTCTGAGGAAACAGCAGAGTAAAATTATCATTATATTGAGATGAGGAAGACTAGAGCACGGCCCGATTTAGCAGGAAATCAAGAACTCAGTTTTGGATGTGATAGGTTTGAGATGCCCACTGGAGATCTAAGTGGAGATGTGGAGTACCACTTGGTTATCTTAATCGAAGTAGCTATAGTTCTCCTGGCTTAATGACACCTGAATTTAAACTCTGTGAACATAGGGTCCTGTTTTACTGTTTGGTTTTGGTTTTTAGCTGCTAAATTCCTAGGCTTAGCATGTACCTGGTACAGATTAGGTATTCAATTAGTAATTGATATTTGATTACTAAATATATAAATTAATTTCGAGTTTCATGATTTAAAGAGGGCTTCAGGTATTTCTGGTGATTTCTGAGCCACCACCAATGATTCTATGATTTCATTTATTTAAGAAGAAACAATGTAAATAGGGAATGAGAAACTATTCACTCTGGCAAAGTGCCCTCTGAAACAAAACCAACAAGACAAAACAATTCTCTTTCACTAGACAAATCAGTTGGAGGATTGTTTAGTTGACAAATTACCTCTAGTCAGGGCCTGTGTGTCTGTGGCCTTGTATCCAAGAGATACTAAATGAGTTTTGTTTGCAAAGTCCACCTTATGATTGCTGAGTCATTTCTTCTTTGCAACCATCGTGAAGTCGAGACAGTCTCCTCCAGTCAACAGTCATTGCAAGGTCTAGGCAGGAGTATGGCAACTGCCTTCACAATCTACATCTAAGTTCATTCAATGTTGACAATTTGAAAATTAATTTGATTATTGGAAAGTTGTGTTTTTACTTAAACTGAAAGAGGAAAATGATTCAAACTCAAAATGCTTTTATTTTCCTCTCTTCCTCAATTTTAATAGTAAATGCTACACATGTCTTCCTCCATCCATTGTGTTTATCTTGTTGCCAACAAATTAATAATGAAAAAAATTGTACTTATATTTGGATTTCTGCTTCTTTAAAAATAACAAAAGAGATGATAATATTGAACAATACTGGGCCAGCCTTTGGGCAGTGCATTAACTGGCTGGTGCTGAGTGGCCGCGGAGCATCCAGGATGGCTGTGCACTCCCCCATGACCCACCTTCAGTGAGTAATCCCATTAGCATTACAGTAGGCAAAGGTCATAGACAACCCAGAAATTCTCTTTTTAAAAAAATTGGTTGTTAAAAAAAGAATCAGTATTGTCCAGGGGGAAGAAAAAAGAGCCTCAATTCATACCTTATATCATACAGAAAATCAGCTTGAGATGAATAATAGACCTAAATGTAAAAACTATGGTTATAGAGTTTCTAGAAGAAAGCATAAGAGAATATCTTCAGAAACTTGGGCTAGGTAAAGATTCCCTAGCAGGATCTAGAATAAACTATTCTAAGCTATTAGAAATGAACCACTTTTATCTGTCAACTATTAAAGTAGTAAAATTGATATAGTGGACTTCATT